TATTTCAAAAACTCTATTTTATTGATTTTTGATCTTAGGACTAGTTTGAATTAGTTCTAGGATGAACATTATATCGGGCATTGATAGTTTGATGATTACAAACTAGTTTTTACAACTAATTTCATCAAAAACTCACAAATTTTCAATGAATTTGTGAATTTTTGAAATAAAAAAATCTAAATTTAATTTCTAAATTTGATGTTTTTGATTTAATTATGTTGTTTTCATGAAAAACTATACATATTATAATTTACAAATATTATTTTCAAATAGTTTTTCAAAACCTTGCCCATTAGGATTCGATTTAGAGAACCTTGAATTATTGAGGACTCAATTGAGTTTTAGGATTGATTATTGTGCATACATGTGTTTCATATCGCAGGTTACATTCCTTTTTCTGATTCCTAAACCATGTCTAATCCCAAACGCACTAGAACTTCATCGAGTCATTCTAGTTCAAACCAACCTTCAAATCTCGTTCCTCCTCCTCTTAATAGTCTTATAGTACTTTGTTTCAACATGCCTGAACGTCGTAGAGATGACCTGTACCATAGGTATATGGAGTCTTTCCAATCCTATAGAATCCGGGAAGAGCGTATTCCTTCTCTTCAAGCCATGATTGCCATTGATTTTGAATACCTCCCAATTCTTAAAACTTGGAAGTTTGATAAATTGTTTCATCTCAAACCTGTCGTTTTTCATCAGTTAGTCCGCATTTTCTATTCTAATGCGGTGTGCATTCAAAATAATACTCAATGTGGGACTATTGCTATTAGATCCTATGTCTTAGGCAAATATATTAATATTAACCCCACAACTATAGCCTCACGTTTTGGGTTAGATGATGATAGGTTATATAATGAAAATGAAAATGTGGATTATCTCTATACTCCAAACGCTAGTGTTAGTACCCTTCGTTCTCACCACGATCGTTTTCTTCATTTGATAATCTCGTGGTGGTTTCGACCATCTATTGGTAGGTACTCCACTCTTCGTGCTATGGATTTATGGTGGATGTATTATATTAAGAACAAAATCAAAATAAATCTGCCCCACATTATTTTTAGCCAACTAGTAGATATCATAAACATTGTTCCTTCAAAACATGTAGAAACATTAGTTTATGGATGTCTTCTTAGTAACCTCTTTATCAAACTTGGTCTAGATGTCTCTCTCGATAATCCCATTCCTCTCTAAAATCCAATCAATCTAACCTCGTTAAAGAAAGACGGGTGGAAACAAGACGAGGAAACCAGTCAATGGGTCTTTAGACCCAGTAAGCCAACTCCGGGAGCTAGTTCCTCACGAGCTGCTCCTAGCTTCTCTCATGCTCCTCCTCCTCCTCCGGCTCCAGCTGCTGAGGATGATCCTGAATTTCAACAACTTATGCAAGACATCGATGATCACGTACCAAATGATGAGCCTGCTCCACAAGAGGATCACGTGCCTCCATATTTTCGTTCGTTTTTGGAGACATTTGATCTACGGTATGCTTCCATCGAATCCCACTTGACTGCTACTCACGAAGTAGTAAATCAACGCTTAGACACTTTGGAAACTCGACAGATGGAGGTTCAAAGGGAGATGCTTCCACATATGGATGCTCTCTCTCTTGAGATGCAAGCCTGATTTCCTCCTCCGCCTCCCGATCCTTCTATGGATGAGTAGACCTTGTTTTGTTTTGGATTTTCGTTGAACTTTTCTTGTTAAAACATTTTGAATATTTGAGGATTATTGTTTTCTTTGGATTGTTTGACTTTGTTTGGAGATATGATTTGGATGTTTTATGGATTTTAAACTTAATATTATTGGTTTGATTTGAATTTTCATTTTGAGCTTACTGTTTATTAATTTTTGCATCATATACGTATTAGTTCATTATGACCAATTATCCATTACATGTTTATGAATATTGATTATGAAACTAATGGCTAATCTCTCTTTTGATCTTTGATCTTAGCAGCTTAATCTTTAAATTAATCATTTGGCTAAGTTTTTTAAAACCTTGTTTAAAAACGTTTTAGAGTCTTTTTGATTTAATAAAAAGGGGGAGAAGTGTTAAGTGTTGTTTTAAAAGGAAGAAGAGTTATAATAAGGGGGGAGTAATTTTTCAAAATTGATTTCAAATTTTTAGAAAATCTTAAAATAACACAAATGTTTTTTTATATCAAAAAGGGGGAGATTGTTGAAAACATTTTGATGTTTCGATATAACAAATTAGTTTAAATGAATTTTAAGATTTTACAAATGATTTTCTAAGTATATTCGATTTAATTAATCGAATATCAAATTATTACTCCAAGTCTTTCAAGATCAATTTCAAACCTTACTAAATGTGTAAAATTGTGTTTTATACTTAAACTATTTTTAAAACAATTTTCACAAAGTATTTTGAACCAAAATCAAGTCTAAAATCAATTTTTCAAAGTGATGCACCGATGCACCAATCCATGTATCGATGCACCAATCCATGCATCGATGCACCATGGAATAAAATGAGCATCGAATACATTTCATGCATCGATGCACATACCATGCATCGATGCACTCAGGGTTTTATATGAAAACATCGAATGCATTTGATGTATCGATGCACCAACCATGCATCGATGCACTCAGGCTATTTTGAAACATCGAATGCATTGTATGAATTGATGCACTAAGGGTCCAACGATCAAAATATTTAAATTTTACACTGATGCACCGATGCACCTAGGGTATGCATCGATGCACTGACTCTCCAAACTGATTTAATTAATTGTTTTCACACTTAAACGACTCTATTGACTGCACTAATCATCCCCAACGTTCAGAATCATTTGAAGGTATATTTAAACAAGCTTAGAAGCCATTGATCAACAACAAGAAATAACAAGCAACTAGAATCAAGAGAGAATCAAAGAGAAAGCATCAAACCTCAAGTTTGAGCATTTCAAGCCTATTTTTCATTCAATATTCATTTTGCTTTCAAGAACACTACTTGTACTCAATTGTATTCATTTTTTAGTGTTATTTTCTTTGTTCTAGAATTGTGCAAACAATCTACCTTGTGAGGATTTCCTTGTAAGTTTGCAAATTTGTAATCTTCTCTTTGAGAAAGAGAGTTCTCAAGAATTGGGGTATATTCTTGAGGGTGTTGTAAGGTTATCTCTTTAGCCTCAAAAGAAATAACAAATTAGTGAATTTGTTGGAAAATCCTTAGTGTGGATAGCTAAGGTAGTGGACGTAGACTTTGGTTGATAAAGTCGAACCACTCTAAATCGCTGTGCAAATCTTTTCAATTTTCTGCAAAAGCTTCCACCAGATTTTTAATTGCCAAATCACCCCCCTCTTGGCTGATTCCGTCGATAGATTAACTCAACACCAGTGATTAAGCAAAACTCCTCCTGCCCAAAACAAGTATACGCCGGAGGAAAATGAAACCATATCTCTTCATCACCACGTTGTATCCTCTAGGGTAGATCGTTAGTCGTGGTATGAAGAAAAAAAATGGGTCAACATAGCATCTCCACTTGGATGTTTTACTTTCAGCAATGACCCGAAGCAAGTATCCTCAAACAATTTTCTTTGTACAGGTGTAAGCGTCGACACAATTGTAGTGGCTAGAGTTAATTTATTCCTTAAGGTCAATGAAGCCGAAAAAATATTTCTACAAAAACAATAAACATACCAAGTTAGATATACCAAAAACTACAAATTATACACTATAAACATACATGATATTAAATAGTGAAAACAAAGCCAAATATGTTTCAAACTTGCACTGTATTCACTCAAGTCATTATTCTATCATAGTTCACAAAATGCATCAGATAACATTCTAGAAGTAAGCACTTATATAAACATTTAAAAGGATAACATATAGGTTTAGTGCAGGTTCAAGGACAACATAAAGAGTAGTAGTTTTCTTGAAACTTAAATTCGCAACACTGTGAAGCTTGAAACTAATTCGCAACACTGTGAAGTTAGTATTTGTCTTTTTTTTTTGTTAAAGTAATGCAATTCATTCAAGTTTCAATTTGCAGAAGAAGAATAGTTTTTGAAACTTAAAATCGCAACGCAAAAATGAAAATCGCAATGTGAAACTAAAATCACGTTGCGATTTTCATTTTCGCGTTCCGATTTTCATTTTCGTGTTGCGAATTTAAGTTTCAAATAGTCTTCTGCAAATTGAAACTTGAATGAATTGCTTACCACAAAAGACAAACAAAGACAAATACTAACTTCACAGGGTTAAAGACTAAACAGTTTAGCAGTATTGTCAGCAACGAATGAATTTACTAAGCAATCTAAGTGAAATGGTTAATCTATTATGAAATTACCAGTAAATAATTTTATCAATTTAAATATGAAAAATCTAATAATAATACAAAAATTTCAAAATAAAAATAATTAAAAAAACTAATCCTCGGTGGTTGATTTTCCATTTCTGATCGTGAATAGTTATGAGCGTGGCTCTGCGAGATAGAGATAAACGGATTTCGCCGGAGATGGGGACGTATTTCATCGGAGATGGGGACGGATGTCGCCGTAGAGAGTGAGAGATGGAGATGAGGTTGTGTTGTGATTAAGGGTTTTAGGTTATGATTTGCGATTATACTTTTTACATTTGTGTTGCGAAATTAATATTGTGTTTCGAATTCGAAAATAAAATTCGCGTTGCAAAAATAAACGCGCTTTGCGAATTTGACTTATGTGTTGCGAATTACAAATTCGCATTGCGATTTACAGATTTGCGTTGCGATTTATAGATTCGCGTTGTGATTTACAAATTCGTGTTGCGATTTACAAATTCGCGTTGCGATTTACATATTCGCGTTGCGATTTACATATTCGCGTTGCGAATTTGGAAACTGAGTTGTGAAATTGGAGTTCGCGTTACGAATTTATTGGTCAGTTTCGCAAATCCAAAAAAATTGGTTAAAATCGTATATTACAAGGCATTTTCGGTCACTGAAGTTATTTTCTCTATCATATATTATACCTTGGCCTGATAAAACATGAACATGAGTGTGAAAAAGGGTAAGGGCCTTCACCTTAGGTTTCAATCGACGGATCCGTTCATCTCAGCCCATTTCATTCTGGTCGTCGTCTCCTTCCTTTCAAGGTCAAATTCATTTCTCATTTCTTGTCAACTCTCCAAATACCTTCCAAATTATTCACAAATTTAATTTAAATCCATTTTTTTTAAAAAGAAAGAAAGTAGAACTAAAATTTTAAAATCCTGAGCTGATCTGCCAGATTATTCCTACGATTCGCACTGTAGGAGATCTCTGATCGCAATTCGTGGCTTTCAAGCTCCCACCGTTATCATAATCTCCACTACAGCTGGCTTGAGATTATTAAGGAGAAAAAATTAGAATTTAAATAATAAAGAAAACAAAGATTCGTTTTCTCTTTTGTATGTCTCCATCTGTTTATTTATTTTCTGTAGTTGTGAGATTTGGTGGTTACAATTGTGGGCCAGAAGCGCATGATTGGATATGCATAAGAGTGGAAGTCTGTCAAGGAGTAATGATATTCCATCTGTGAGAGTATCATCGTCGTCACAGCCGTCGCCGTCTCAGTAGTCGGGGAGGCGGCTGAGCTTGTGCTCCCAAATAGCAACCCCCTCTTCCCCAATTGTGTTCCCAGAGAAACGTAGTAAGAAGCACAAGGCTTCCTCCAAACGTAGTGAAGCCCCTGTCACGGATGATCAGACTGATAAACCTAAGACAAAAGAGCATCGAATCGACATTGGAGGGGATGAAAAGTCAGATTTGCTTGGTTACGTGGTTTACTTGGTGAATCTCATTTTCGATACAAGAAAGAATGCCCCAACTATTACTATTGATATTGCCGACCAGGAAACTGTTGCTGCTAAACTCACTAACAAGGCATAGTTTAGGGTTCTCATATCTTACCTCTAGATGATTTCATCTGGAATAGACCCTTACATGAATTAAGTATTTATTTTCCACCGTTTTGGGTTTGCAATCGGCCTATTCAGTTTTCTTATATTGACAGGTTTCTTATAATGTCGGTGTTAGACATTTCACTGTGTATGCTTACACTCTAACAAGGGGTTCTTATGACCTTTCATGCTTTATTAAACCGAAGAGAAGCAAAAAAGGATTTTCGTTTCTTAGCTTCTAGTGTAGAAGAAGTTGTTCAATGGGTTGGTGGGTTCGCAGATCAATTGTTTCCTTAATTGTTTGCCTCACCCTTTAGTTTCTTCAAAGAAGCAAGCTTCTTCTGAATTGTTTCTAATGAATGCTCCTCATGAGCTCATCTTCAGGTGCAGGAATCCACAAAAATGCTCGTTATATTGAATTGTTTCCTTAATTGTTTCTGAATTGTTGAACCTATATTTAAGGTGTGCTCTTTTATCCTCACTAATTTGTACAGACACTATTTAGGATTTGATACACTGACATTGATTGTCGTTGATCGTATCGTAATTGCTGCTGTTATTTGCAACTTATTAGTTACTTCCTCTCTACCATATTGGTATATTCACTAACCACCTATAAGTAAATAAAATCCTTGGGTTTTTTTCTCTTATATGAACTGATGCCTAGGCTCTTAGTTTATATCTTAGGGAATCAATATGCTAAATTTAACCTTCACTTGGATGCATATAAATCTTATAGGTGCTTGGTTCAATCATTCTTTGAGATCTTAATAAGAGCACTTCCACATAACTGCTTAAATCCATAAATACCCTGATTTTTATTGTTGGGATTACTTGCATAGAGAAAAGTATGGTTAGGATAAAATGGATTGTTTGAACTGAAGATGCATTAGTATTCTTTGCTACAATTATAGAAGGTTGAATATTTTTCTCTGATATCATCATCAAAATGAAAAAAGCTGGTGAAGGTCGTGGCAAAACTATTTAGTAATCTATAGCCTCTGAGAAAGTGTAGATAAAAATTGAATTATGTTTTATTTTTTCTGTGTTGTTGCATGGTGAGTATCATTGATACTCGGCATATTTGGCGTTTCATGTGATGTATCTTTGAATTCTAATTCTGGTGTTGGCAAACTTTACTTGTTAGGATTTCCTTTTAAAGATGAATATTCTTGATGTAATATATATAAAGGAATCATTAGTTATATACTGCTGCATACTACTTGATTAACAAATGGTAGAATTTTTGGATAATGGTGTTTTCCCGCATGCTTTATTTTCTCTTTTCTTTAACTCATTGCTTCTTTGGTATGTTTTATCATCACTGCTTTCCAACTCTTGTGATATTCTTTCATTATTTTCAAGAAGAAGCTGTTTTGGAGTTTTGGCTTCATTGAGTTTTACGTGTTATGTGAAAACTGTGAAAGCTTGCAGGGTTCAAATTAGAGGTAGTCAAAACATCATCTGTCGGCCATGCTAAAAAGTTGGAATCTACCGTTGATATCAGCACATGCCCTGATAGTAGTAATACTTACCTTTAATTACTTATTCTGTCTTTGCTTATGGTTTTGATGATTGTCATGATCTTCTCCATTAACATGAATTTAAATTGTTATACTTCCTTTAGGAATAATATGCGTTGGTGGTGATGGGATAATTAATGAGGTTAGCCATTTCAATTTTATTCCAATTTCCATACTTGTTTCTAACTTATTTATTTGTTTTCTCTAGGGAACCTTTCATTCCAAGTCTCTTTTTCCCCTACCCATTTCAACACCATTAATATTTTTTAGTTACATGGAAAAGTGGAATTACTCCCAAACTTTTCTAAGAATAGGTATTCCGTTGTGTCATTGGGTGATTCATGGATCGATTTTTTGAGGGACTGATTGACCTCTGTATGATAGTATTGAATCATTAGGGAAGGAGTAATTCCTATGTTTATGTAATTGCATTAATGTTGCTTACTCATTATGCCAAGTATATTTCTTCTGCTTATTTATGGTATTAAAGTATTGGAGTCTGTAGGTTATGCGATAAGTCTTGTTAGTTAGTAATTTAATATAATATTAACTCTTAGAAAGTTAAATAGATAAGGATAACTAGTAGGTAGTTTATTTCTAATAGAATACTTACTCCTAACTTTTCATATAAAAAGACAAGATGTACTTTCACCAATCAATAATATAAAAAGTTTTTTTCTTCTCCACTATGCTGGTTACTCTTTATCAACATGGTATCAGTTAGGTGATCGATCCTTCTCCCTAACCCTAGCCGATCATTTTTTACCCTTTTACCCTAACTCTAGCCGTCGATCATAAATTTCGCCTCTTCTTCATCGGAGGTCACTTCGGAAATCCTCGTTAATTCGCCTAGTTCTAACATTTTTTATGTTTCTTACGCCTCTATCATTGGTCACTAATTGAATGGTGACAATTATATCCGGCGCAAACAACAATATATTTTGGAGACTACATCAGTTCCAATTGTGACGGATCCTGAATGTCTAACCTGGCTAAGTGAGAATACCATGATTATGTCTCTAGCCGTCGATCATAAATTCCGCCTCTTCTTCATCGGAGGTCACTTCGGAAATCCTCGTTAATTCGCCTAGTTCTAACATTTTTTATGTTTCTTACGCCTCTATCATCGGTCACCAATTGAATGGTGATAATTATATCCCTTGGTCCCAATCTGTTCGCATTTATATAACCAGTCGGCGCAAACAACAATATATTTTGGAGACTACATCAGTTCCTATTGTGACGGGTCCTAAATATCTAACCTGGCTAAGTGAGAATACCATGATTATGTCATGGCTCATCAATTCCATGATTCCTATTGTGGGGGAAAACTTTATGCTATACGAAACAACGGTTAAAATTTGGAGCGCAACAAAGGCGATATATTCGAATTTGGAAAATTCAGATGCTCTATTTGGGATTGAGTGTCAACTTGTCAATCTCAAACAAGACAACATGACCATGAATCAATATTTTACTCTAATGTCGCACTTATGGCAGTAACTTGATTTGTTCGAATCCCATGAATGGAGGTGTGCAGAAGATGCCCGTCTATTCAAGAAGATTGTTGAACATCGCCGGATATTCCAGTTTTTGTCTGGTTTGCATCGGGATCTTGATGAAGTCTGGAGACGAGTATTAGGACTCAAACCTCTTCCTTCAATCCGGGAAGTATTCTATGCGGTACGACATAAAGAAAGTCAACATATAGTTATGCTTTCTGATTCGTAGCCCGCTGAAGGATCTGCATTGCTCACTCTCAAACTACTACTCGACCAAAGAAGGGGAGAACTTGGTGTGACTACTGTAAGAAGGTTGGTCATCTGCGAGATTCTTGTTGGAAGTTACATGGCAAGCCTACTGATGGGAAGTCTTCAAAACAACATCAACAATGTGATACTTAAGGAAATTGTGTTGTAAATACTGATTTACAAGGAAGTTCGTTTACTAAAAAACAAATGGAAGAGTTGCAACAGTTTTTTAGTCTGTTAAACACTTATTCCCAATCCGTACCTTCATGTAGAATTTCTTCTGCTACTTTGGCTAATAAATCCACCACTCCTACTTGGATTGTGGTCATCATATTCGAACAGCGGATGGTTCTCTTTCTGGTGTTATCGATCAGGGGTCTATTCGAATAAATCCGGACATTTTTTTTATCTCATTTTCTTTATGTTCTCAATCTCACTTGCAATCTTATCTCCATTAGCAATTTGTCTGTCGATTTATGCTATACAATGAAATTTAACTATGATTTTTGTGAATTTCAGGATTCCAGCTCGGGGAAAGTGATTGGAAGTGCTAGACTTTGTGGGGGTCTTTACCTTCTTCCAGCAACTTTATTTTCCTACCCACATGCTTCCTTCAATGTTATACAACAATTTCCTTTACCTGAACCTTCAACCGATGTTATGTTATTGCACTTTCTTTTAGGAAATCCCAGTTTCTTTTATCTTGCAAAATTGTTTCCACGTTTGTTTGTCAATAAAAGTCTGAAATCTTTTTCTTGTGATATTTGTCCACTTGGTAAACAAACTAAGAGTGTTTATCTACTTCTTCGTATAAACCATCCAAACCATTTACCATGATCTATAGTGATATTTGGAGACCATCTCAGGTCGTATCTTTACATGGGTTTCGGTGTTTTATTTCATTTATTGATGATCACACTCGTATTACCTGGACCTTTCTCATGAAAAATAAATATGAAGCTTTATTTCGGAGGTCTCTTACGGAAGCTGCTTCAACTGGTGTTGGGGGTAGCCTACTATTTACCTCCCCTTACCCAATATGGGAAAAAGGGACAGCCATTTTTTCCAAAAGATGGCTGAAACCAATTTCAGTGTTTAAGATGGTGAAACCCATTTCAGTGTTTTATCCAAATGTTTCATTTTGATAATGGTAGTGAGTATTTTGCCAATGTTTTGGGTTCTTTCTTTCAGAAAACTGGGATTGTGCATCTTACTTCGTGTCAATTTCGGAGGTCTCTTACGGAAGCTGCTTCAACTGGTGTTGGGGGTAGCCTACTATCTTACCTCCCCTTAACCCCATACATATGGGAAAAAGGGACAGCCATTTTTTTCCAAAAGATGGCTGAAACCCAATTTCAGTGTTTTATCCAAATGTTTCATTTTGATAATGGTAGTGAGTATTTTGCCAATGTTTTGGGTTCTTTCTTTAAGAAAACTGGGATTGTGCATCTTACTTCGTGTGTCAATTCTCCTCAACAAAATGGGATTGCTGAGCCAAAAAATGCATCTTCTTGAGGTTACTCAGTCTCTTCTTTATTCCACAAATGTTCTTAACTATTTTTAGGGGGAAACCCTTTTAACTGCCACTTATTTGATTAACTATCTCCCTAGTAAACCGTTATAATTTAAGTGGTCGAGAGATGTTTTTCTTCAGTTTTTCCCAATTTTAAACCGATGACTTCATTGTTACCCCTTAGAGTTTTTAGTTGTACTGTGTTTGTTCATAACAATGTTTCTTTTAGGTCCAAATTAGATCTTTGAGCATTTCAGTGTGTGTTTCTGGGTTATTCTTCGACTCAAAAGGGCTTTTGGTGTTATTGTCCTCGTACAAAGAAATTCTTTATTACATGGACGTTACTTTCTTTGAAAAAAACATTTTTTTTCCTTAAAACTGCTATTCAAGGGGAGTCATATAATGAATATCAGTTTGTTGACTCACAACAATTGTCACTTGATTTGCAACTAGCTCTTTTTGACCGACCAACACCGCCATATCAGTCAAACCAGTCCAATCAGCCTACAAAATCGCTCTAGTCAAACCAAATAGTACTACCGAACCCATAAAATTTATCCTTGACAAACCAGCCCACTGAAACATACTTACCTCACCATGATCAAGATATCACTTCACCTCAAATACCTCAATCCGAATTGCTAATTTACAAGAGACGACAAAAACAAATTTCTAAATCAATCCCTGAACCTACTCTCGAGTCTTCCACACAGCATGTACACTGTCATGAACTGTAACCGAACGATAATCCTTTGGAGAATGAAGGATGTAATCAGAGTTCTTACACTGAATTAAATGTTTTAATTGATGATAATGACTTGCCGATTGCTCAAAGGAAATGAGTAGGAAAATGAAGAAATTATCCAATTGATAGATTTGTTGCATATGGAAAGCTAACGCCTTGTTTTAAGAACTGTACAACAAGTGTAGATAGCATTACTGTTACAATACAATGGAAGAAGCATTGAAAGATCCCAAGTGGAAAAAGGCAGTAGAAGAGGAATTAAAATCACTGGAAAACAACAATACTTGGATTATAGTTGATATTCTGAAAGATAAAAAACTAGTCGGCTGTAAATGGGTATTCACGGTAAAATACAAAGCTGATGGTAGTATTGAAAGATATAAGGCGAGATTAGTGGCGAATGGATTTACTTAATCTTTTGGAGTCGTTTATCATGAAATGTTTACTTTGGTAGCAAAACTAAACACTGTGAGAGTGTTACTGTCATTGGCAGTCAATGAGAATTGGGTGCTTCATCAGTTGGACATAAAAATGTATTTCTAAACAGAAACTTGAGGAGGAAGTATATATGCGAATTCCACCGGGTGTGAAGAGTAATACATGAAAAGCGTGTAGATTACTAAAGTCTTTGTATGGACTTAACCAATCTCCAAGAGCTTGGTTTGACAGATTTAAAAGGTGATTATTCAGGATGGTTACAAGCAATGTCAATCGGGTCACACTTTATTTGTCAAAACAGCTTGGAACAACAAAAAGACAATTTTGATTGTCTATGTGGATGATATCATTTTAACAGGTGATGATTGTATGGAGATAGAAAGACTGAAAAAGCTATTGGCGAAGGAGTTCAAAACTAAAGACTTGGGAACTTTACGATATTTCTTAGGCATGGAATGTTGGGACCGTCGGCTCACCCCATGGCGCAGCGAAACAAAACTCGACGGTCTCACCAGCGATCCAAGTACAAAAAAAACTGAAATCGGGAGGAAGAGATGTGAATACTTACAGTGGGTTCCTTGAAAAACATCAAGGACAAAAGTGAATACTGGTTGTGTAGATCGGTTCAATCTTAAGCCTCCACGAAATAACGTCTTTGCCTCAACTCAGTTCACCCGATTGAGAGCAATCTTTAT